ATTAAATGGAAAAGCTTAACGATGCTGCTTCTCTCCTCCATGGGGTGTGCAAAGGGGCTACTGCTGGAGCTCACCGCCAAGGCTGAGCTGGAGGCTGCTCTGTCAGCACCCGTCACAGCAGGTCAGAGCATGTCGGAGGCCGAGAGAACGGCTGTCCTGCTTCTGCCCCATGCCCTGAGCGTGGTACTGCCCATGCAAACCCTGAGAGGTGTGTGTCAGCCTCACAGAAGCTCCATCCCACAGAGGGACACCTGCATTTCATGGTGCTGCAGAATCTGTAACTCACCACAGCTAACAGCATCCGCTCCGATGAGACTATTACTAGCTCCGGTGAGGTCTGTGCCTATAATGCTAAGGGGAGGAGCTGCAAGCCAAGGCTGAGCTGGCAGTTCTTGAAGTTTGGAGAGCCCAGGACTGATGTACCATAGGTTGGTGGGTTAGAAGGGAGGGGCATGGGATGGGAAGCTCAGGCCAGGAATAGCAAGGGGGGGGGGAAACAGGGGTTGTGTGTAAGGAGCGGGGACCATTGGCAGAGCTGGGGGTGTGGGTGGCTTGCTGAGGACTGGCCTGCCCTTCTCCCCCCATTGTCAGTGAGCTGCAGCCCTCCCTGTAGAGGAGGAGGCGAGTGACTTGAGCCTGGACACACTCAAGGTTTGCTGGTGCCTCCTGGGTTTTCAGCCCATCGTCTCACTCCTCTAGACCCCTATGACTGCCCATCTTTGGCTGCAGGAGAGCCCAGGGCCTGACCCAAGCCCATTCCAGGCAATGGGAAGCCTCTTATGCCTGGTCTACACTAGACCAGGCAGGTCAGCTTAAGGCACACAACTCCAGCTATGTATACTGTATAGCTGGATTGGGCTTGCTTTAAACCAAGCATTGGTGGCATCCGCGCCCATTAGCTTCCCTTACATCTGAGTACAGGACACCAGTAGAGCTGCCCTCAGCATTCAATTTATGGGCCTATATTAGACCCGCTAAATCAAATGCCAGGAGGGTGTATCCCCCAGTAAGTATAAATGTGCCCCAGTGCATCCAGGGTTTGGGACTGGCTCCATTTTGAGGAGGGAGGGGAATAGGAGGGAAACCACTTCAGTTTTTCAGGAAATGGTTTTCTTGTTTTCAAGCCAGTTTAAGATCAGACTCTCTCCTCCTTCCTCCCTTGCTACACAGGGCAAGAGATCATAGAATACTAGAACTGGAAGGGACCTCGAGAGGTCATCAAGTCCAGTCCCCTGCCCTCGTGGCAGGACCAGTGTGGGAGGCTGTATGGAATCTAGCTGACAGGTTGTCATATTAGAAAATGGCAATGAATATGACCAGATAAGCCTTGTAAGGCAGGGATGGGCAACCTAGGCTAGTGAGCAGGTCGCACGAGCGGCCCTCCTGCTCAGTGGGCCACAAGACAGTCTCCTGGAATAGGGCAGTTTGCTAACTGCGCTTGTGCACCTAGAATTTGGG